AAGGTTTTAACTTTAACATGGTAAAATTACATATAACAAAGCAATTATCGAGCAAGAATTACAGTTACAATATTAAAGAAGATGTCCTATCTATCTTATATTTGTGAATTTAAGGTTTTATATCTAACTTATCTTTTATCATAACTGAGGAAATTACAACTATCTAGTGTTCAAAGCACAGTCCACCTTCACCGTTCAGCATCCTGGCACAGAGAGAGCACACAGAGAGAGCGCTGGCCCATCCAGCTCTCAGGTCTCCAGGCGCCTCCCCTCGCCCCGCCTCGTAGGCATAACAGTTGCCAGAGTCTCAATGGGTGTTGGAACTTCCAGATCCAAGCTGGAATGGCTACCCACTACACTAATACTCATATTGAGTATTAATTCTTCAATGTGAAGATATTGAGATGTTGGGCATTATAAGAAGTGCTTGGATCATAGTGGTAGAACCTACATAAATAAGTTGATGCCTATTAGGGATGAGTTTTCACTATCATGGAATTGAGTTAGTTATCAGGACAGCATATTCTAAAGCAAGTGTCCTAATTTGATTTCTGTTGCTGTGATACAACACCTTGACAACAACCAACTTAGGTAATAAAGGGTTTATTTTGCTTATAGTTTCAGATCCATCATTGTTGGGGTACCAGGGTATGAAACTAAAACATATCCATAGCCAACACCAGAAAAAAAAAAAAAAAACCATGTATGCATCCTTCTCGATGTTTGCTCACTGCTTAGTTTGATTTCTTCACTCGTTTTTTTATATTTTTATTTTATAATTATTTTAATTTTACATATCAGCCACGGATTCCCCTGTCCCTCCTCCTCCCACCCACCAGCTTTCTCCCCCAACTCACCTCCCCATTCCCACCTCCTCCAAGGCAAGGTCTCCCCTGGGGATTCAGCTTAGCCTGGTAGATTCAGTTGAGGCAGTCCCCTCGTCCCTACACCTCCTGCTTTGGTAATGGTGCCAACCATAGTGGTCTGTGACTTCTTGTATGAATTAGTAAATCTAATCTTAACAAACATACATACATACCAACCAAATGGAGACATCATTTCAATGAGGCTGATGTGTTTTGTTATAGCAACAACAGAACTCTAAGTAGCTAACTCTTCGTTCAGAAAATCCATTGTCTTTCCTTTCTGGACCTGTTTTTTCTCTTTACTAATATCATCCTTTTAGTTAATTATAGACATGTGATAAACTTTTTGCTAAGCAAATAATACATAAATGACTTGTGAGGCTTACCTACAAAAATCTAATTATTGACTTAAACTTTCTCCTCTCTACCAGCTTAGTGTAAATGAGCCCAATGGCTTGAAGTGTTGAAAATGAGAGATTAAAATGATAGCAGACACCTTGTCTTTCAATTATTAATGTGTAATCAAGTACTAGTTTAGGAATGGAATGTACATTTTAGAATTGGTGGGAATAAGAATTAAAATTCTCTTCTTTTAAGTATTGAGATGTATTTATTTATCTGTTATATTGGCCACCTTCACCATAATTAATATTCTGGAATGATACCTTTGTTTTCAAGTCCCTCTTTATTATGTTATCTTGATTCAAACCATGCTTATCCTATTGCTTTTATCCTTTGAAACACTGTCTTATGATCAGGGCTTTAATAATCTGCCCTGTTGGCACTGTTTTGAAACATTCTGGTGTTTCTAAGTGACTTGTTTGTCATTTAGATGGTTACTTGTTTGTGTGTCTTTTAGATATCCCCCATGTTCTGCTCACATCATTCATATTCAATTTATTTTTCTAAGCTTAAAACTGCTAACGTTCAAATAACCCCTGATGTAAACCTTATGTTACTCATCTATTTCCTCAAGAACATTCAGACCAAAGTCTTACTCAGAGAAGATATATAAGGAATTGTCTTGAGTTGGTATTTGTGTTCTATGTATTCATTGTAGAACTTCCTCCTAAGTATCTTATCTTTATATGTAGCAGGACAGATTTTATTTTGTTTTCTTTTCAGCTTTTAAAAAAAGGTATTTTTTCTTTTCTTCCTTTAACTTCCTACCCGATAGGCATTTTCCTCACCACCTTTTTTATTCTTTAGCTGTAATAGATTTCTCTTGATCCTTCGGGGGCCATTTCCATAGTGACTGCACATTCTGTGTTGGTGATGTCATTCTTCCATGAATATGTTGTTTGGACATGGGCTTTGGATGGTTCTACATAAGCGACCATACAGTAATCACTTCTTCGCATCCCATATTTCATTGTCTTTTTCCTCAAAAAAATCAAAAGTGTAATTGTGTATCTTCAGTTGATGACTTATAAGTGTTGTAGCATATAACCAACCCTAACAACTAGCTTTATCTTCTTCACTTGGATCACAGAGCCATTTGGATTTGGAAAAGTTAAATGTAATAGGTCATGTATTTGTCAATTACCTATAAGACTTTTAGAAATAGAATTTGGAAGATCAGATCATCTGAGAAGGAAGAAGCTATAAATTCCTTAATTTATTTATTTCCCCCTTTTAATTGCATAAGTAAAAATGAAGTTAAGGTAGACTGAGGACAGTGAAAACTGATGTTTTGTTTTTGTTCTGCTTTGCTTATTTTTCTGTAGCACTAACACTATGCCACTGAGCTATGCTCTGCCTTTATTTCTCACTCACAATTTTGTAATTTCCGTAAATTTTTTAGGATGGTCTGTAGCTGGAGAGCTTCCCTCTGGGTCCCACCAATCCCTGGCAGTCCAACAGCCCACTTATAAAATAAACACACAAACGCTTATATTATTTACAAACTGTATGGCCATGGCAGGCTTTTGTTAACTGTTCTTATATCTTAAATTAACCCATTTCTATAAATCTATACCTTGCCATGTGGCTTGTGGCTTGCCAGCATCTTCACATGCTGCTTGTCATGGCAACGGCTGGCGGTGTCTCCCTGCCTCAGCCTTCCACTTCCCAGAATTCTCTTCTCTGCTTGTCCCGCCTATACTTCCTGCCTGGCCACTGGCCAATCAGCATTTTATTTATACAGAGTGATTTCCACAGCAATGGCCTTGAACTCACTCTACATTTCAGGCTTACTTTGAACTTGAAGTGTTCTTCCCTATAGCTGGCATTATAGGTTTGTGACGCCATGCCTACTCTGGGGTTTGGTATTAAACATTTATGTGTCTATTTCTACATTTGTCAGAGTTTTTAAATGAAACAAATGGAAGAAAATAGGCACAGTGGACTATGCTTGTAATTCTAGTACTTGAGAGGTGAAGTGGAAGTATCAGGGGTTCCAGGTTATCCTTTGCTACAAAATGAGTGAGGGCACTCTAGGCTAAATAATACTTTGTCTAAAACAAACAATATACACACAAATAAAAATGTAGGAGAAGGGTGGGAGAGTTTGCTCAACAAGTTCTAAGCACTTGTTACTTTTGCAAAGAACCCAGATTTGTTTTCTAGTACATGTATGGTGGCTCATAACCATCCATATTCCAGACATGTACATTGTACACATGCATACATACATACATACAGGCACACAAAATGTTCATACACAATTAATAAAATGAATGTGTGTGTGTGTGTGTGTGTGTGTGTGTGTGTGTGTGTGTATGAAACCCTAAAAGAGAATGTGCCAGGGCTGTCATGGGTTAGTAGACAGTTATCCTATCAGCAGGGCCACAGGCTGGGAAAATAGTTTGATAATTAGAAAGTGAATTAAAAAACAGTAATTAGGAAATAGTTTCATCATTTTGTTAGAAACATCCCAGAGCCTTTAGCCATGTTATCTACAGCTAAGAAAGGAAAAGAGAGGCTACATATGTTACTGGAGGAATGTATTTAGTATATTATACATCAAGCAAGGATAATCTCTGAAGGTGTTTTTTTTTCTTTCTCATGAAAAGTAAATTCAAAACTCATCCTTATTCTTTCATTTTTCTTTCTTTGTTTCTTCATCTCTGCTTTATGTAGTAGCAATCAGTCCAAAGAATTGTGATGAAGCAGGCACAGCAGTGAAAGTGGTGTTGTTAGACCTGATTGTCATTCTACCTCTGTTCCTTAATTAACAGTTCTGTGACCTTGGCTGATCATCTCTTCTCTGGACCTCATATCCAAGATTCTAGAGTGTCTGTTCTGTTGAGACTTTTCTAGGTTTCAAGTTCTCTAATTCTTCAATTAAAAGTCATTTCTACCCTTATTTATAAATGTTAGTATCTGTCTGTCATGAGTGTAGCCCAGACAAATGTCTGACTAAAATCTATCAGTCTCCTATGTTTTTCACCTTAAAAAGGAACCTGGCTTAGGAGTTGGGTATCAATGAAGACCTATTGCTCTAAATGACCTAAATTGGGATGACCTAGTAGGAGCTTTTATATGGTCCGTCTATTCCTTAGTGAGTGGAAACCTCAATGTACCTAGACGCAAGCTGGTTATGTATTAAAATTTAAGTTGTAATTTCTGTGTGAGACTCTGAGCTGAAGAATTGTTTTCTTTAGTAGGCATATCTTAGAACCAGCTTAATTTGGTGTTTATATTTGTAAGGGAAGCATATTTGAGGTTAGAGTGGCATTAAGAGAACTACCTGGAGTTGCCTGCTAGTCCTTCTAATATAAGCTTTACCAGACAGAATTTCCTCCTTATTTACTGTGAACTATGGTGAGACTTCAGCACTGAATTCTCAAATATGGTAAGGCAGCATATTTTCTCTACTTGAATATTAACCACATTATAGAGAGGGTTATGTATACATGGATGATTATTTTATTGACTTACAGGAGTTTAGAGATTCCAGTCATGTACATAGCATGGAGCACATTATTTCCTACCAAATTACCAACTGAGAATCCTTCAATGAGCATAAGGAGCACACCAAACAAAACAAAGAAATTCTCCAGAAGCACCTATTTTTGGAGGGGGAGGAGACAGATAGAAGGCCCAATGACAATATAGTAAATGTGACTTAGTACATACAGATTTAATAATTCTCATCTTGACCACTTGTGAGTGACGTTAGGACCCGCAAAAGGCAAGGTATGGTGAACAGGACACACAAGAAAAGTGCTTCATCTCATTTTTCCAAATGTGATGTGAGCACTAGATTTGGTACACAGGATAATGTTAGGAGATCAAATCTATGCTATGTATATAAGAGACTTTGCTTAAGCAATCAAACACCCACCATATAAATTATAAATACAAAGAAGAGATGTATATGGATAAGGAAGAACAGAAATGATGATAAATATAAAAGGACTAATGTACAGAGGAATATGTCCTGTAAGCAGGAAAGGAAATTTTTGGGAGCAAATTTGCAGAATTATCAGAAGATTTTCTTAGAGAGGAAAGTCTTACTCTGTAGCTCTGGAATAAGTTGAAGACCCACCTACCTCTTTAACAAGCTTCCAGATGATTGTAAAAGATCCATGCCTTACATAAGAAGGAAGATTCTAGGATCTTTTCACATCATCATAGTGAAGATGATCTACAAGATAAAAATTTTCATGTTTAATTTATTAGTTGCTTTTATTTACAAAAATAGCATGACTTTATTCCTATGGTATCCATAGTATTTTATTTCTATTTAAAATATATTGGCAAATGTCTGAATTATTTTATAAATACTAAATAAAACTAGTGCAGGTATACATCACAATAGCAAAAATCAGAGCATACATCCACAACATCTAGAATTGATGTCTTTGAGCAAACTTTTCCTTATGTATTTATGATTACACACTCCACTGTTGTTTGACTTATCATTTAAATTTATTAAATACTGCCAAAAAGAATATTTTCTGTACTCTGCAACTCATAACATATCCTCCAAGTGATTCCCTTTAGGTATAGAAAGGGCTTACCAAGAGAGCAAATCTTCACATCATGCAGTTATTTAGATCATGTGGTCTTGTTCTAACTTCAAAATCAATTCTTATGAAGATACAGCATCTGTACAGGATCTTATTTTTATAAATATTCTAAAATATTCTTATATCATGAAGATCCTCTCTTCTAGCTTAATGAAGTTAGGAATTTTCATCTCTGATTTAGAGATGAGGAGGTCAAATGCACTCTACTCTCTTCGGGGATTTCTGATCATCTCAGAAAATTATCTATTTAACATCCATCTACAGAGGATTCTTTTTTCTTTCTAAGCACTTATGTCTTTAATTAAACCTTTCTTTATGTGTTTATGGTTATACACATGCCTATTATTTGACAACATTCAGATGTATTGATAATGCCATAAAGAATACCTTCTGTACCCTGAAACACGCATGGCATCTTCCAAGTGATTTTCTTTTTCTATTGCTGTTTTAAATGCCATGACCAAAGACAACTTAGAGAATGAAATGTTTCTTTGGGTTTATCATTTTCAATGGGAGTCCACAGTGGTAGGAAAAGAAGGGCATGGCAGCAGGGACAGAAGCCAAGAGACTACATCTTCACCTGCAAACAGGAAGCAAAGAAAACCTGACAGTGAGACAAAGCTGTGAGCTCATGAAGACTGCCCCCAGGGACATACATCCCCCAACAAGGGCACATCTCCTAAACCTCCCCAAATAGTACCATCACCTAGAGAGCAAGTACTCAAATACATGGGCCCATGGGGGACAGTTCTCTTTCAAACCACCACAAACACTAAGGCATGTGATTTTTTTTCCCAGTGTCTTTTGTGGTAACTATTTGTGTCATTTGTGTATTGGACATTTTAGTCCTAACTTATATCTGTTGGTTATCTAAGGCAAACTAATGACAGCACTGTCAAGACATGTTCTCCCCATGATTACCTATCACAACAATTTCCATGATGGTGACTACTTTATGCTCTTTGTTATTAATAAGGCCTTTTTGGTGGGCTTCAGCTTTGTGCCATAAGAGAAGGCCAACTGTGAAACATTAAAGTTGTTAATAAGCTTGATCTTGTACTCTTAGAAATCTTGGTGTGACTTAGTTTAGTTTGGAAGAGATGCTGCTGACAACTCCAATGTACCGAGAGGAAAAGTAACTAAGATAATCTGAGTGATTTGATATACGGGCAGGACGGTCTCAGCAGAATAAATTTTTATTAAGGATAATGAATATTTCAGCCAACATAGAAAAATGCAGATGGCAAATAAAGCTTCTCCAAATGACAGAATTGGTGTGTGAGCTTAGGAGAGCAAATAAACAACAATGATGAAAAGATAAAGTACCAGAAGTAAGATTGAAATGATAATATATAATAATGGCCATATTCTTATTTTTTTTAAAGATTTATTTATTTATTA